TGTCAATTACTACAAAACTTTGGTAGGATTTTGATTTGGATTGTAAATGTATAGATTGGCATCAAATGTATAGCATTTGAGGATAATGGTCATCATTAAATTTTGAGTCTTCTAATGATTGCCGTTGGTATCTTTATTCATTTAGATCTTTAGTCTCTGTCAGTAAAGTTTTATAATATTCTGTGTAGAAATTTTTTATAACTTTTGTTAGATCCTTAGAATTTAGTAGTTTGATACTATTATAGATATTACCTTTGTAAATTTTCTTTTTCTACTTACTGGTTACTATACAAAAATCAATAATTCTGTATATTGACTCTGTAGCTAGCTACCTTGATAAATTCACATATTAATTTTAATGGTTTATTTGCAAAGTCTTTTAGATTGCTTACATACCGATCATGTTGTCAGTGAATAATGAATGTTTCAGATTTCTTTTCCAGTCTTGGTATCTTTTATTTCTTTTTATTTAACTTCTAGTTTAATGTTGAACACATGTAATAATAGTGAATATCCTTGTTTTTTTCTCAGTCACCACAGAAAGCTTTCAATTTCTCATCAAGTGTAATGTTTGCAACTTTTCCCTTTTGATAGCTATTCTTTATCTGATTAAGATATTTTCATGCTATTTCTAATTTACTAATAGTTTTTTAAATACATAAATGAGTATTAAATTTTTTAAATGTTTTGTCTGCATCTATTGAGATGACCATATTATTTTCTCCTTTATCTTATTAATTATATGATTGATTTAAAACTTTAAGCCAAACTTGTATACTGGAAATATACCCTACTTGCTCATAATATATTATCTGTCTATATATTGTGAATTCTATTGGCTAATACTTTGTTTAAGATAATAATGTCCATATTCGTGATAATTATTGGTCTGTAATTTTTTTCCTTGTAATTAACTTGTCAGGTTTTGGTTTCAAAGTTATATTGGTTTGTTAAAAGAGTTGAGAAAGAATTTTCCTATTCTTTGGAAAGTTTGTGTAAAATTTAATATTTTTTTCTTCAGTGTTTGGAAGAATTCACTCATGAAACTATTTGGGACTGAATATTTTAATTGTGGATTCAGTTTCTTTAATAAATATGAAAACATGAAGATTTTCTGTTTCTTCTTGTGTATTTTTTTCTGAATCTAAGAATTCATCATTTTCATCTAAATTTGCAAAGTTAGCGGAATATAATAGTTCATAATATGCTCTAAAAATATCTTTAGAATCTGTGGTAATATTCTCATCTTCATTCCTTATATTTATTATTTCTAATTTCTATCTATCATCCTACCTCTCTCCCTCTCTCTTTTTCTCTCTTTCTCCTCTCTCATATTTTCTGTCAGTCTTTCTAGGAGATTATAAACTTTATTGGTATTTTCAATAATCAACTTTTGAGTGTTTTATCTTCTCTAAGTTTTTTTTATTGTGCTAAAATTCACATAACATAAAATTCATCATTTAAATTGTTTTAAAGTATGCAGTTCAGTGACATTTAATACATTCACAATATTGTGCAATCATCACCACTATCTAGTACCAGAATATTTTTTCTGCCTCAAAAGGAAATCCATACTCATTAAGCTGTTACTCTCCATTACTCTCTTTCCCCCGTCCCTGGTAACTAGTAATCTGCTTTCTGTCTCTGTGAATTTGCCTCATCTGGCTATTTCATATCACACAGTATGTGGCCTTTAGTGTCAGGCTTCTTTTACTTAGCATATTTTCAAGGTGCATCCATGTTGGAGCATGTATCAGGACTTTATTTTTTTATGACTGAATAACATTCTGTAAAATAGACATTCTCTCTTTAAATTTGTTTTCTATTTCATTGATTGCTGGTCTTACCTTTATTATAATTTCCATACTTCCACTGTCTTTGAGTATTTTTGGTTTATGAGATACACGCTTAGATAACTGAAGTGAGGTGGCATATTTCTGTTCATTTTTGCTTCATATACTGTAAGGTTCTTTTTCTAGATGAACATAAATTTAAGATCGCATACACGTTAGGGGCTCCTACATTTCCTAACTAGATGAATGTATATAATGAAGTTGGTCCTATCCCATTTACCAGAATGTTGTGAAATTAAGTAGGCGAGAGCAATTTTTAAACTCATTTCTACACTTGGATAGAACTTTGTTGTCTGCACTGCGATTGCTTTAAATCTTCATCGCAGTTTCACAATATTGTCTCATCTGTTTTACACAGCGTAACCGCAGAAATTATCTTCATTTTACAAATGTTATTTCTTCTACTATAGAGTTTCAGGAAGTGACCATGAATCCAGTATTCAAAGACCGGTGTTTTTTTTTCTTTTCTTTTCTTTTTTCCTCTCTTTCCTAGTTGCCTCATGCCTCATGCAGAATTGTGTTATTGGAGTTCTTACGACATGGAAATTTCACATTTTCAAACACTTGAGAATATTGCAACTACTGCCAATAAGGTTCAGCATCCTCTAGATGTGGAATGCCAAGTGCAGCCACCAAATCAACCCTTCTGTGCCTGCACAGAATTAAATTTTGCAAATCTAGCTCTGGCTCTCTGCCAATACATTGACAGTTTTTACTGAATACTCAATGCATTAGGGTTTTTGTTGGAAAATAAAAGAATTAGCAGATGTGTTTTTTACTAAATATATTCATTGCACAAATAAATATTTACAACATGAGGACTGAGGGAGGACAAGGTGATATCTGAGTGTTCTATAAAAGCTTTTATTTTAGTGTCAGGTTATAAATTGCTGATGATAAAAAGAAACTGTGTCTTTAAAAAACTCCATTGCTTCCCATAAATTTAAGTTTTTCATATTTCATGAACTCAACATACTGTTTTTACATATTTTAACAACTGAAATAGTAAATTATTATATAATTGATAGTTTCTTAGAATTCAGTTTCATTGATAGTTTTTGTCTTTCTTAGTGATACATAAAATAATGAAATAAAGTAATAAGATAATAAAAATAAAGTTATCATGTATTTAACACTAATGCCATTTTAAGGTCAATAAAATATGGTATATTAAAGTATTCCAGAGGCTCCTGTAATGGTTTTCAAACATTTCTCCATTTATTTATTCAGCAATATTTATTGAGCACTTAGCCTGTGTTAGGTGCTGTACCAGGCATCTGGGCTATAACAGTAAACAGGGCATTGTTGTATAAGTTAATAGTTTAGTAAGAAAAACAGAGAAGTAACAGAGTATTAATAATAGAGTGGTAAGAGCAATAAAGAAGTAACATGCTGCAACGGACTTCTGAGAAGGGTATTTAGGAATTAGGAATCACTACCTGTCGAACTAAATTCCAAACTGATGCCTGAAGGAGCAAGTAGGATTTGGTCATATCAAAACGGGGAATAGAGAGGTTATGGGGGAAAAAAATATTTCAGACAAAAGAGTAAGTGTAAAGGCCCAGGGCAAGAGTTTCAAAGAGAGCAGACAAGTTCAAAGTAATTGATAGCCCATTGAATATCTTTAATTACTCAAGAGTTTTCACTTTTCTTTTAGATAAGGATTCTTAATGTTTGGCCAGGTCATCGTGGGCTTCAGCAGGGGTAAGTGAAACAACTGGAGTCGAATGTGAGAGTTTTCTGGATGTATGAGTCCAAGGAAAGAGTTTGCTGCATTCATCGGTCTCAAAGTTGGTTGGGTTCCTTCAAAAAATTAAGAATCACTGCCCTAAGATCTCACAGAATCAGAAAGCAAATTGCAAAGGATATTCTATAATTTATACAATAAATAAATTGGTAAGTTAATAAGTTAACTTGGGCAGAGGAGGAGAGAGTGGCCTCTCTTGTTTACTCCCCAACCCATCCTTTAATTCCTGTTCTTCCTGCGTCCCCTTCCTTAAGTAATAGCTCAGTTCTCGCTATCCCCCTTCCTGGCTTTATTCTTCTCCAATGAATATGTGCATCATCCACAGCACTACATATGCAGAAGTGATGTATTTCACTGATTTCTGGCACACAGCAGGTACTCAGTCAATGTCAGCTAGTGCCAGAATTAATGAACACCGAGTGGTGTTCACAAACGAGTTTGTGCTGAGAGAATGAGAGAGAGCTTGATATTCAGATGTTTGAAGGTGACAGTGGTATCCCGCTGAGAACAAAGTTAAATCCTAGCCAATCACAGCCCTCCCTTCCTTCTATGCCTTTTCTGGCTGAGTCACAGTGATCAAGTTTCTCAATCCCACTGAGCGACAAGGATTAGGACCTTGCTGGCACAAAGTGAGCGTTCATTAAAGCTTGGCTCTCCTTTCTCACGGCTCTCCATTTGCTCCGACCTGCTTGTTCTCCCTTTCTTTCCGGGTCTAGGCAGCTGTTCTTAGTTTTCTCTTTTTAAAGTCTTGGGGAGAGCGCAGTTCTTGGCGGCAGGCAGGCGCTGACCCCGAGGCCTCAAGGTCAGGGGCAACTGGCCCGCGGGGTGAGCAGAGGTCCTGCATTTCCGGGGTTCAGGAGGTACAGGGCAAGGCTGATCCCTGGACTGCACAATCTGGTTTGTGGATGCAGGCAGGCAGGTCTCTCCGCGGTCTGTGCGTCGCATCGGCTCATCCATTGCTCGTCTGCCCAAGGCCATGGCAAAGCTGCTGGTGCTCACTCTCGTGGGGCTGGGACTGAAACACTTCAGGGATCCCCAGTCCTCTTACGAGTAAGTTAGGTTGTGGTGAGGGCTGCCGCCCCTGGCCTCCCCAACCTAGGCCAGCCCCAGGACAGCACCAACCCTTTCGCCGCAAAGTGGGGGAATCCAGGCTCTTAACAGAAAATCCGCAGGCACGTCCCGCCGGGGGTTCGTAAATATTTGTCCAATTTTCGTTTGTCACCTGAAAACATCTCCTTGCTCGAAGTCTGAGAGATGGGGTAAGGAGACCGTTGGTGGTGTGAGTGGCCAAGCTTTTGGCATACAAGAATTAATTTTTCATGGAGATCCGTGTGCCTAGACTACAGATTCACTTCTCAACCTCTCTTCAGAATAGATAATTTGCTCGTCTGCCCAAGGCCATGGCAAAGCTGCTGGTGCTCACTCTCGTGGGGCTGGGACTGAAACACTTCAGGGATCCCCAGTCCTCTTACGAGTAAGTTAGGTTGTGGTGAGGGCTGCCGCCCCTGGCCTCCCCAACCTAGGCCAGCCCCAGGACAGCACCAACCCTTTCGCCGCAAAGTGGGGGAATCCAGGCTCTTAACAGAAAATCCGCAGGCACGTCCCGCCGGGGGTTCGTAAATATTTATCCAATTTTCGTTTGTCACCTGAAAACATCTCCTTGCTCGAAGTCTGAGAGATGGGGTAAGGAGACCGTTGGTGGTGTGAGTGGCCAAGCTTTTGGCATACAAGAATTAATTTTTCATGGAGATCCGTGTGCCTAGACTACAGATTCACTTCTCAACCTCTCTTCAGAATAGATAACGAGACTTGGGGAGGAAGAGTGGGAAGGGGCTGCTATTGTGTGAATTAGGGAAAGGAGCCTCCACAGTGGCTGCCTGGCCATGGCACCAACCTCCCCAATTTGAAGCCATAGGAAGAGAGACGGAAACCTGGCCATTGGAGCGCAGAAGTGGGAGCAAATCCCTCTGCGCTGGTTCCGTGAGCTCCAGTGGGGAGTTGGCTTTTGACGTGTGGGGTTCTCCCTCCAGCTTAGCAATGTTCCTTCCATTGTGGGATCTTAGGAAAAACCCTTTACATTTCTAACATTGGCTACTTCAGTAAATAGAAAGCAACTAACACTGTGCCTGCGGCGCAGTAACTCTTCGATGAACGTTAGTGCCCTGCTTCTCTTTAAGTATTTTATATAGTGTTAGATACTATGTGAAGGGGAGGGAATTAAAAATGTACGAGTTCTCCTGGTAACATTTCACAGAGGTTCAAAGTCTAGAGTTCACCTAAGATTGAGACAATAGTACCTTGTTATTTACTTTGAAGTAAAACATTACTAAATATCAAATTGAACATTCCGGATTTTTTTTTTATTATTAAATAACATAATGCACTAATTAGAAGCTTACATTCAGAATAGGTTTTTATAAACTATGTTTTTATTTTTCTTCTAACTGTTGGTTATTTTTCAGATCACAAATAGAAAAAAGTAAGAAAGAGTGATGTGGGGTTTTAAATCATGAGAAAATTACAGTTTGTAGATTTTTATTAATCACGATACTATTTGCTGCCAAAGGAGAATGTATGTGTAATTTTGTACCACCATATGTGTGGGTTGTGATGTCATCCTAAGATGAAAAGAAATGAGGTGAGATGGAACCATCCAATCCCCTATCTGGGCTTTTTCTCCTTTGAATTATCCATTTCCATCTATACCTGGGTTTGTTCTGCCCATGCTCTCCCAGTTGTCCCATACAGAGATGTATTCCACAGGAGTACAGATCTGCCAGGAGGGAGGGAATTTACTCTAAGAATGGGAACTGTAGGCATCTTGTATATGTTTTTGTGTAAAAGTATAGTTTTGCCACCCCCCTCCAAAAAAGTTTCTCTCTCAATATGAGGTCTTAGCTTATTTTATTCAACATTACTCTTTCTCCAAATTTGTTCCTTGGAACACAAGTCTCAGAACCTGCTCCACAACAAAATGGGTTTCTCAGACAAATAAATTTGGGGAATGTTGTCTATTTTAGCCTTCTAGAGATCGGCAATACACTCTGGTATATTGAAAGCTTTGAAAAATCTTTAAGTAAGAAAACATGATTTTTGCTTTGTTTAAGTCATCATTTCACAGACTTATTCGCCCATGACCTCCACTTCCTTTTTTGGTACCATCCATGAACATCTTGCCTAACTCTCTGGGATAGTTTGAGAAGGAATAATTCTATACCACTGACTCACACCAACACTTAGATTTCAACCTGAAGAAGTCAGATCCTAGCCTTGGGCAGAAGCGGAAGCTCATATACAGAAACAAAGAAATTGTCAAGGGCAAATGGTTTCTGGGCCCCAAGCCTGATTCTGATTTTCCTGAGAAGGACCAAAGCACACCATGGTCATAGCTGAATACAACGTCATTCTCTGTGAGTTCCTTTGTTGGCCTCGCCTGTGGTTTCCTGGTGTGGATAGGGTATCTACAGGAGATATTTTGCCATAAGGATGCTGCAGTGGGAAGACCTGGGGTCTGGTTCGTAAGTGAGAACTTACTGTTTTTACATTCAGCACCTGGATCCATCGAGTGGAGGGAGCCTCTGTCCTCCAACTTCTGGCTATAATCGAATGACTGAGAAGGGAAAAGGAAAGTGCCAGTAAGATGGACCTCTGGTTTTAGAATGGAAAGAGGGCTAGAAGAACAAGCATAGAAGCAATTCAGGGCTGAGAGGATTGGTAATTACGGTAATAGATGATGGCTGTAGAGGAAGGGAGGAAAATTGCACCCACCTTCCAAAAGGCCCTAAAATCTTGCTACTCAAAGGGCTATGGACCAGATGCATGAACATCACCTGGGAACTTTCTGGACTGGAAGAATCTTAGGTGATGACCCACACTATCGAATCAGAATTAGCATTATTTAACCTGCTCCCCAGGGGATTTGTATGCACTTCTCTAAAACTTTCACTCCTGCATCACACCTGTTAAAACCAGATCAAAAGATCCTGGAGGATCAGTAAAGTGCCTTTATTTCCACTTTCGAGAGAAAGTCCCTGAGTCCCAGAGAAAATCATGAATCCAGCTGATGGAGAGAAGGGCAGAGATTATATCGAGAGGCCCATATCAGAGGCCTTCCTCATATCTGGATAGCTGGTACCCAGACTGGTGGCTCTCTACCCTGGTCATGCATCAGGATGCATTGTGGTGCTTAATAAAGCTAATTACTGGACCCTACTCTTAGACTTTTGGATCAGACCTTCTTAGAAGGTGGAATTGATAGCCACTGGCATGGTAGTAGGAACAGGATACATTTTTTTTTTTCCTGAATGAATGACAAGAGACCAATTGCCCCCAAATTCCTATCGTTTTGTGCCATGTTGGTAAGAATTTTAGCCAAAGTGTCCACTCCCCTCTTGTCTATCTTCCTCCTTCTGTTAGACTTAATTTTCAGTAGTGCAAGTTAAGAATTTCTCGGCCTGTCTATCTTAGCCAAATAAGACTTCCAGGGATTCTCAGATAATTGTTGCTGTTCACTGCGACTATGACGGTGTACTATATTGCATCATTAGTTATCAAAATAGTGTTTATTGTTTAAATCTCTAGGCTGTGCTAATGTTGTGGTCCATTTGTTTCAAATGCCTCATCTATAGCTTTGCTCTGCTCTGGCAGCCTGCTGGTGCTTCCTTCTTACATCTGTTCTTTTTTCCTTTGTCCTTCACTCAAGTGTTCCCCTTGATGCTGATGCACTCAGATTTAATAACTTGCTTTTGGGTGTATTTGTGTGAAATGCTTTTTTAAATGCTGGCCTTGGTTATGATTTTCTGAAGTCATAAATCCTTTTAAGCTCACCTGCATTTTTTTCAACTAACACAGCCAGAAACAGATGCTCAGGCCAGGCTTTGGAGTCAGACTAGGCAGATGGGCAGGAGACTCATCTGTCAGCCGCCCTAAAACATCAATTGAATAAATTGGAACCGCGTTGTTATTTAACCCAAACTTCCACATAGGACTCCTTACACAGCTGATGAAACAGTTTCTGCTCCTGCCAAAGTGTATAGAACCCTGGAGAGGACATTATGTATCTTCTTTGTGTATCTATCCATCTCTGCTAAATAAGTACTAAATATTGTGCCTGGTAAATCTACTTGCCTGCTAGAATTCCAGGGCCCATTAACCCTGGGTTAAAACCCAAGCGAAGTGCAATTACGGAGAACTTTATTGGCAACTTACCTTTGCAACCTAATTATAATTTCTGACTAGTTTTTGTGTTTTATTCCTTTTTCTCCTCCAGAACACGACTTAATGCTTTTCGAGAAGTAAAGCCAGTAGAACTTCCTAACTGTAATTTCATTAAAGAAATAGGTAAGTGTGTAAAGGAGGAGGTATCTCATTTGAACTTTCAGTATTATGTTGCTATTTATTTGATTAATACACCTGCTTAATTTTATTCAAAAATAAAACTATGAACCAGAAGAGTATTATTAAGTCAGTAGTTAATTTTAAATAAATTGCTTGACTTTTGACTTCACTAACATATTGCCAAGGTGTTGATAGTTTTTGAGTTATGTTCTTGTTTGGTCAGCTTAGCAAAAACAATAGAACAATGTTTGATTTTTATAGTAATATAACTTCACAAGATGATAGAGGAGAGACAGAAGGAGAAAAAGGGAGTAAAGGGCAAATTTTTAAAACCCCTCACACATCTTTGCAATTACGCAAACCTTCTCCTCGTGAATCTGTCTTTTAATATCGGCGAGGAAAATTTTCCCAGAAGCTCTCAGCAGATTTTTCTTTAGATCTCATTAGTCAGAGCTAGACAACGGGCTGGTGCCCTAGCTGCAAAGGAAGCTGGGAAAGTCATTATTGGGCCTCCATTGTGGGAGGCGGGCCTTGTCAGCGTGGATAATAGGGCAGGGGAATAGCAGGTGGTAGGCAACCAACAGATAGTATCACAGGACTCTAGTCCACATTTGATTTCAACCAACCAGCTTTGTTATTTGAGGACAACTTGTTTGAGATCCATACTCTTGTTATTTTGTTTGTTTGTTTATTTAGAATTATTTATCTCAGTTGCCCTAAAGTTAGAAAGGCTAGACCAGATGACTTATTTAGTTAGCATCGATAAGCTTAGTTAGGTAGCTTATAGTGTAATTTTTTTCTAGAAGACAAATGTGATATTGTTATTAAGTATCACTGGATATTTGAAAAACAATCATCTCCACTAAGAGTATCAATACAAAAATCAAAAATCTCATTTGCCTCTAGACTGATTGAAATATTAAAAATTTACATGTACTTAAAGTATCACTAACTGGTGGTATTTAGCGATATTTATAATTAATAATAAATGCATCTCTGCATATGAAACATATTCCCATTTTAACTGAAGTTTTTAGAACTTAGTTACATTTCCAATATGGTTTCAGAGTTTGTTTGAATTGAAACTGTTAAGTATCAATATACCTTGGTAGTTTATTCTGTCTTTAAAAAAAACCAGTAAGCTATTTTCAAATTATCATACCTTTTGTACATTTCGTGAATTTCCATGAACTTTATATAAGAGATTTCAGACTCTGAGGAAAAAGTTCTAGTCCATCAATTTAATACAAATATATTAAGTGTAAATTTTAATTGTACTTCATTATATTAATGTCTTAATTTTTATACAATCACATTATTTAATTGGAATAAATAAATGAAAAAATTAATTATTCTGAACCTATCAAAGAAAGCTAAATATGTAGCCCCAGTTTCAAGTTAGCAGTGATTAAGAAAAGGACTGCTAGCTTCCTGAAATAGTGTGAAACAGGCTGTGCTAACTCTTCTCTTTTCCGGCAGAAGATGGGTCTGAAGACTTGGAGATACTTCCTAATGGACTGGTTTTCATTAGTGCTGTAAGTGTTTCCTTTCACTAAAGCGTTTTCTAGAACCAATAGCTTAAGTTTTTTATTTAAGCCTTCTATATACAAATACTTAAGTTCAAATAAAATAAAGTCATATGGTTCAAAAAACAAACTGCATGTACTGGTGTTATAATTACCATCGTATGTATTCTCTGCATATTTATATTCTTCTATGTACATTGAACTCATCTTATCTTGTATTGTAGCAATTTGCGATCTCGATGGGTTAAAGAATGGCTTCCTAGAATTCAGCTGTCTATCCCTTGAAGCACTTAAGTAGTGTACTCAAATATTTGTTGAATTGAGTGTATGTTTATATATATATATCACCTCACATGTCATTTAGATTTTTACTTTTTTTTTTTTTACACTTCTCAGAATAAGACCTTCAATTTAAAATTGCTGATAGGTCATTCCATAACTTCCAAACTTTGAAGAGAGAAGCTATCATGTTTGTGTAAACTCTCCTGCATGCAAACTCCTGTGGCAATAATATAGCTCCAAATAAAAGCGGTTGACAATCTAAGATAACAGAGTTGATAGGATCCTGTATACAAGTCATCCAGACATTGAAAACCCTTTGCTGTTGTAATTTATTTAGTCTTGTTTTCTCTTACAAAGATGGAGGACTAGCCATTCTCTACAATAATGTCTTGCAAACCTTTTTTAAAGAAACAGAACACATATTTTAAGCAAAGTCTTATAAGGGACCCAAATGTCTAAAACAAATAAGAGCTGTGTTCTAATTGAAGGATAAAGAGTAGTTCCATGGCTCACTAGACTTCCTCCAAACTTCGGTGCCCGAGATGCTTTCAAGGAACCTGCCCGGGGACAGTCTAAAAACCATAACCAACGTTCTCTTTGTATTCCTTGCTTATATCATTGAAACCCATTAGTAAACGTGCCTCTGGTCTGTTTTTCCATTTTTGATCTTTCTCATGAGTTGGTAGACACATATGGCTTCGCTACTGGTGCCTGTGCGTTGTGTTGAGATTGCTTGGTGGAGCATGTGGGGCTTCTAGAGCTCCCATGGGCCTACTGCACAAGCCAGTTAAGAGGCTTCCCATGTGGTCATGTGGCATGAAGTGGACAGAGTGAACCAGTGTCTAATCTACCACCTCCATCAGCATTCAAAGTATTTGTAATGTACCTATTTTTTTCTCCTTCATTACTTATAAGGGGTTAAAATATGCGGGATTTAAGCACCTTGATACCAATAAGCCTGGAAAAATACTGCTGATGGACATGAATGAAGAAGATCCAACAGCGTTAGAATTGAGGATCATTGGAAATACATTCAATTTGTCTTCTTTTAACCCTCATGGGATTAGCACATTCACAGATGAAGGTAACAATATTTAATGTTTATTAAAAACAAAACCAAATTAAAAAAAAACAAAGAAATGTTAATGTATGAATATTTCTTTATATCCAACTAAAGTATAACCATAAATCATGTTCTTATTCTGAATTTTAAACTTATCCCTATGTTAATTAAATATAATATTTTTATTATCTAAATGTTTAAGAATGTTAAAATATTTAACATTTGTAAAGCACCTAATTTTTTAAAAATACTACCAACATTCACATTATCTCTGTAATTACTGTAGTAATAACATTCAGCCTCAATATCATTGGTTTTCTCATTTTAAACCACTTTACAGATCCAGGCATTTACAGGAATAGATTTTTCTAACGTAAGGCATCTGCAACCTGTAGATCCACTAACTAAAGTCACCGTGGTGAGCTTTCTCTCAGTCCCATCACCTTCAACGGCTCCCTGTCCTCTGGTTCCTGTGTTTTGTCTTAAAACTGTTTCTCCACATTTTAAAATGTTGCCCCCATCCCATATGCCTTCATCCCATTTCTTCCTGTCTTTTTGCAGTTATTTCCTTGGTCTCTACATTAATTGTTAACTCCAATTGCATACAAAAGCACATGGGGAGTTTTGAAAAACCTGATGCCCAGGCCACATTTCCAAAAGATTCAGTTGGTTTGAGGGGGACCTGGGTGACAATACTTGTTAAAAGTCCTTCGGGTGACAAAAACATAAGGATCATGTCTATACCCATGGCCTCATCAGACAATCTTTTCTTCAGTCCTTCTTCCAGAACATATCCATGCGGTGGCTACAACTGCTGCCTTGGAAGTCATCGCTAATGCCCTTATTAACAAATCTCTCTCTTCCAGCCCTTCTGCTTTTCTTCTTTCCTCCCCTTTTTTCTTGCCCTCGCCTCTCTTCTCCTCCACCCTTCTTCCCTCCCTCCCTCCCTTCCTCTCTTCTTTCCTTTCTTCCTTCCTTCCTCCACCTCATTTTATTTTGTTGA